GTAGTTTCTGAATTCTCTTAATTATCTTTATTTACTTAACTTGGATTGGGTTAAAATACTTGTATTTTCCTCCTGATTTTTGCCTTCACCTTTATCAGCTGTGTCACAGTTAATGCATGTTCTCACTCACTATGTATTGCAGACTAAACCATTAATCTCCAGAGTTGAAGTCTGGCCAGCAGCCCCAGTTGCAGAGGTTTATGTAATAACACCAGAATCACCCAAGACTATGGTGTTAATATTGTGCGTATAATTGTAGGAAACTAATAGACAAATTCTGAACAGCCTCTAATGACAAGTTAGTGAGGACTTATACAAATTAGTTTTCTACTATACCCATAATAACATTTTTTCAAGTTCTGACCAAGCTTAAAGGTAAGACAACAGGAGTAGAAAAGACCAGTGTAATTTATGTTATGAGGTGGATAAGATCTTGTGATAATTGAGATTTAATTTCCTCATCGCAGGGATTACAAAGATGACTGTCTTCTGGGTTGTAGCGCCATGTAGTCTAGTAGACGTTTATAATTATACAGGCAGCATGGTCTTCTGAAATGGTGGTAAACTTCTACTAGACTGCATGGTGCTACAACGCAGAAGACAGCCATCTTCATCCCAGAAGACTCATCTTAATGCATAGTTTCACAGCTATATTGATACATAAGTGGTTAGGACAACAGACAACATTTACGCCTAATAATAGATATGTGGTTTAAAATACTTAAGTAAGAAAACCTATTTCACAGGGGGAGCTCTTTCAGGTGGTTACCACTGTTCCTTCAACATATTATCGAAGCCCACAAGACCATAATCAACATCTTTTCCACTCTGAGAACCTCAAATATCAGAGTCTACTTAATGTTACACCATGAAGAAAATTGTACAGCTTTCCTTTACAGTTGTTAAAATATAAGAAATGTAGGTTGAAAAATTTAATTAATTACTGTATCTGAAGATGCCTCTATCTGTAAGCATCACACCATAGAGATGAATGAAAGCTATGTGCATTCTTAATCTTCAAGACTAGATGAAGGTGATGATGGCTGTCTTCTGGGTTATAGAAGACAGCTATCATACTCACTGCCATAAGAACCTCAAATCCTATTTAGAGTGAGTAGTCAGCTTTTATTCTGGTCATTTTACCCCTAGAGTAAATGCTCAAGGGGCCCATTGCAAAGGAAGATGGGTAAATCCGAGAACTAGTATGTTTTGTTTCATTATTGTACTTGTTTTTTGTTTTATTTAGGCCTGATACAGTACTTAAAGGTTTTGCAGAATATATTTCTCTGAATAATTCTATGAGCAGCAAAAATCATCAAAATGTTAAAAAGAGAGCAAATTTTCATACCTGTATATAGACTTAATACATCTATATCACGTTCCATGGATCCATAAGTTTGTCAGATGATAACAGGATGTTAAAAATATAAATCAATTTTTGACAAATTCGTCAATAAACAATCCTCCACGACCTAACCCTTTGATTTTAAACAATTTGCCATCTACCAGAGAAACCTTCAACGAACACTTTCATATAGTTTAATGACGTTCATATAGGTGGCAGCGGAATTGTTTATTTAGCTAGCGATGTGGTGGCCATGGCGGGTGCCGGGGAAGGGTTGGAGCGGGTATGTAAATTATTGTTATTTACCATTTAATGTTAGAAATTTTCACATATTTTATAATTCTGGTTGTGATTAGTTTCGTAGTTTAATTATTAAAGTAATTTCAGCTCTATGAAACGCAAATTTTCAGCTTAAACTGTTGTCATGTTTTGATTTTGCCATGTCTAATTGCACCAGCTGCGATTATTTACCTTTTGTAAGGAGTAAATGATGTGTTAAAATAATGGAAACATGGATGTAAACTGTGTGTCACATATTACAGCGAAATACTTATAATTTGTAACATCTGTCATATGATATGAAGTTATATTCCGAGACGTACATAAAACGGTTTGCAACACAGTAAAATGTATATTCCTTAACTGTCTGTTTTAGTTTTGTTTCATTCAAACTCTTGAGTTTGTTTCAGTGACCAATTATCAAGCTGCGTTAGGTGGATACACATGATAGGGTACTTAATAAAAGTACAGAAATATTTGTTTACGTGAAATAATGTACAAAAACGAGTTTCTCCAGCCTGTTATAACTGTTAGGCATGTATCAGAAAATTATATATTATTTTAATAATGTACCAACATCATCTCAGTAGATTTATGAGCGATGATCTATTGCCGTTAAAATTGTTTGTACATTTGTACCTGTTTCCAGTTGTTCTGGTGCTGCTTTGGCATGAATTCCCTTGTGTAACAAATGTAATTGCCAGTTTGATACTGTAGCTATCTTTAGTCATTATGAGCCTTTATAGACAGTGCTTTAAAGTTTGTTAGTGGATATAAAAAATTCTTTGTCTTTCAGCATGAGTTTATGCAAGACTGGATTCAGTTATCCCAGTTTCAGTAAAAGCGATTTTAACTTATTGTTGTTTTGAGTATAATTCTGTTTGAGTATCAGTTGTAATCGAATTCATATATATGAGACATAGTCACATTGTTAAATGCTTTGAACATATTTATTTTACTGTTCAGCTAAGGCTGATTTTCTCTGGCATCATATTTGGTTACCAATTCCAAACCATTTTGACTGGAATGTTGCTTACCAGTAAATAACTTATTTTAGGTTAAGGTAGGCATGAAGAAAATTAATTTACGTCTGCTGAACTCATTAATAAAACAGACATTAAATATGTATATGCTAAATATTTATTTGGTGTTTGAAAGGATTGGTTGTTGTTTCTTTCAATATAATGTTGGCACTTACAAATGTTTTTTGACTACTCACATATTACGCATTCCAGAGGATTTGATGCATCTGTAAATTACCAGAACAGATTTGAAACAGGATCTATACATATTTATTATTCTGTATGTGTTATTCAAACAAAAATGTACAGAACCTTTTTTTAACATTTGAATACCAGTTTGAAGTTTAAATGAGGGTAAATCATTATTTGTTCAGTGGTCTGTTTACATGAACCTCATACTGATTTCTTTTTTAAACTCATATCACTATAAAAATTTGTGTTCAAAGACCTTGACATGTTTAAAATCTCTGAGATGAATAGTAGATTGAATGTTGGTTTACAGCATTTACTTATGTGTAAATAGATGGACTACCTGTTGGGATTGTTGGGTAGTTTGAAGACCTCCTTTGTTCTCCCTACAACCAATATTTTTGTATGTGTTATTACATAACCTGCAGTTTAAACATTTTGCAGACTTTCATGTTTTAGAGTTCAGGAAAGGTAGGAGTCTTTGCTTATGAATTTTATGAGTAATTTACATGTCACTGTCATGTCATGTAATCTTTTATGAAATTACTAATAACTAACCAAGCGCAAAATTAATTCTGAAGTGAAATGTCAAGAAACGTTAATTATTGGGCTGGATTTTATGTCTGCATGAATATATTTATTTCAAAAAAGGGACCTTAAAGGGGATAACAGTTTTGGGACAAAGTTAAGTAGGGTTTATATGAACTGGAGAAATAATCAAAATCTTTAGGGTGTATGTGAAATATTTAAATTCTTTGTTCATGAAATATGCAAAAAATATGTTTTGCTCATTCTTTGTAATTGTTGCATATTAGTTGGAAGAGTTATTATTCCTGTTTCTTGATAAAAATGATTTTATTGTTGTTCATACCATAGCAGAAAATTCCTTTTATTTTAGGGTGTGTTTGTGTGGGGATGTAGTAAATGCATTGTGTTAATTTGTTTATTCAAATTTTGTATCCTATACCCATACACTTGTCAGTAGAATTATCATGTGGACACAATTTGACATTAATTTATGTTAATTATTTTTTATTCAAATATTGTACTCTGTACACATACAGTTGTCATTGTCATTGTCATTAGAATTATCTAGAATGCAAAAGTTTTCATTAAGTTCACAGTTCCATATGATCTTGCAGAAGTTTTATAGTCTTGATAGCACAATTTTTTGGTGCACCGAGTACTGATAGTGAGTCCATAAGCTATATGGGAAATAAGAACAATAAATGTTTCATAAATTATCCAGCCTGGAAGATTGCTTGATGGACTTTTTAACGTTGCTTACATTGTTATTCATGTTTTATATTCATGGAAGTAAATTAAATAAGTAATAAGTTGGTGGTATAGGAAACTGGGGAATCCTGAGAAAACTGCTCAGTGTAATTTTGTTTGTAAAAATCCCATGTGGTATGATGATCAAAATCTACAGAGATGAGAAATCATCAGGCAGTATAAAATGAGCCATAATAGGGAAGAGTCAGTCGAAACATAGCAAACACATAACTAATTGGTTAATGGTGAACCATTTTTTATGTTATTGTTGAACTAATTGCATTAAGTGGACACAAGAAAAATTAATTTCTGTATGCCCAAAATTTTATAATTCTAAAACTTCATAATAAATATTTTAGTTATATTAATATATAGAACCAGTACAATATCCACTTTGCATACATTTTGAATCAAACTTTCTCTCTTTTGTCAAAGATGTGTAACAAAAAATTATTCCACATAAAACATTGATATTGTTAAGATATACATCTTATATTTGGAGAATTTTTCGATACGATAAATATTTAACGTTGCCTAGCATTCTGGCAGTGGATTTGCATTTGTTGCAGGATGATCAAACAGTTACCCAATCCATTTTTAAATATTTATTTATGGATGCAATTTAATACAAATCGATTAGCTCAATAAACATATCGCTGTGACTATACCAGAGCCCTCGCAGGTCACATTATGTTGTAACCTGTTCACGCCAGTCCGTCAGTTGTTTTCAGTCAGTTGAAGTGCAAGGGTGTCTTTTTTTTACAAGTGCAACGAGTGTTCATTGTCGAATATTACCTGTCGTCTCGTTATTTCTTAACTTGTCGGAGTGAGGTTAGGGATACATTTCCTGATTGTTCTGTGTAAAACATATCGACAGTATCCCGTTTAGTGATCCGTGACTCAGGAACTCGGCATCGGGATGCACCAAACATGAGGTAAATAGTGAATGCATGCATCGCTTAATGCGGTGGGCACTTGCAGCGCTTAATATAGCTCATTTTTCAGTTTAATTTACTTTTTGACAAATTAAACGTGTGTCAGGAATGTATTGCGCGGACTTTCGATCACTCTATATAATAGATTTTTATCACTTTCTACTCTTGTCCAACAGTCAAATTAGCGTGTCTGGTGCACCAGGATGTAGGCCGTTGTGGATGCAGCCCTAAGGCAAGTTATCCACTCAAAGACATACTTGGGGTTTCATTCTGTGAAACTTAGTTTAGGACATCACTGCGTTCTTCGTAAAGACTTTTTGCTTCAGATCCTCTGTTGTAGTCTGCATGCTGCAGGTGTTTTCAGTCCGATGTCCTTGGGCAATATCAGCAACATCTGCACCATAATTACGTAACCGGTACTATCATTTGTACTTGTGACAGAAGCACTTGTTGACAGGCGTATAAGCATGACTCATATGCATGCTTATCGGGTACGTGAAACTTCACTAGACCTAGCAGCGGCTGAGTGGTTAGCTATTAGTGCGGCTTCGTATTCGGATGGTTCCGGGTTTGAATATCGGCCCGTAGACCGCCTATTATGTCTGAAGTTTTTCGTGTTTTCCTTCAGGCCCACCAAACAAATGGTTATTAATAATGCTGTTCAACGCTATTTAATCGTAGCATTTGAAGTAGTTTTTGAATAAGCAAGGAATAAAAATAAAAATAAAAACTTCGAAGCGTTAGTATCGCATCATTATAAGAGGGAACCCACAAATAGCCCAGTGACAGACTTCAGATATCCACCATTTTTACTTACTACACAGAAGGGCACTTAAAAATTTCTCAGCTGAAAGTCTGTAGCTCAAATTCATGCTTATCTTACTATATCCCTGTGTCTGAATACAAATAATAAAATTTCCTCACACATTTATGAAAAGGAAAAGCATCCACAATTTAAATTGACATATGAATGGATATTGAAACTTTTAAATTATCATACAGATTATAACAGTGGATCCATGCATGATAACAGGTGCCTTGGCACGAGTTCCAAGTGCTTAAAATAAACTCATGTTAAAGAGGGTCCACATTCGTCGAAATTTTTAATTTTTGAACCTGTTGATCTGATTTTAATTAAATTTGGTGTTGGAGACCCACATCAAAAGGTAAAGGTATTGTGATTTCAATATTGGTTCGTATTATAGTACAACCCCTATCTTACAAGAAGTTAAAATTGAACGTAAAATATACAATCATGAGTAAAAATCTATAACCAATAGAAACATTTTCCAGAGTGTGATTTTTAAACTTAACGATATGAAACGAACAAATTAATCCACGAATGTCGCAGTCAAGTCGAGAGCACGTTTCGTATTCGGGAGGTCGCAGGTTCAAACTCGGTCTGGTGACCAGCTATCCTGACTGAGGTTTGTTCGTGGTTTTCCTCAGTCTTTCAAGGCAAATACCGGGACACTACCTTAAATTAAACACAGACGAAAATACAAGGAAAGTGTGTTAAACTGTTCTTTTTGACTTTGTCCATCGTTTAAATATATATTTACAACGTTTCGAAGTTGGATTCAGTTTCTATAATCGGGTAAAACACTACAGAATAAACGTATCAGTTGGCCCCCCTGGCTGAGCCAGTCTTTAGGATTGAGACTGTCTCAGCAGATAAAATTTTCTGTCCTTTTTCTGTGATGACGGAAGCAGAATCCAGCTTCTGAAACCGTAATCTTGTAACACAAAGGAACGCAGCCCGTAAAGAACATTGGCATTTGTGTGTAATTAGGTCTGTTCTGTTGGAGTTCATATTTCTACTCATTGCATTGTTGTACTGCATACCCTGTAATTGGCATTTTGGTTGTTGAATCAGCACGTAAGTAAAGAATGTAATTGAATTGTTAGGATCGAACGATATCTTATGTCTTTGGCAATGGCTAGTATTAATACTGAAGACTAATATATCAAGTTGAAATCTCGAATAGGTTTCGAATTTTAGAGACACATAAAGATAATGAAAATGTTAATATCAATAGGGAGTGGGAAAATGTCAGAAACTGTATCAAAATTTCAGCCAAAGAGAAACTAGGACACTACTAGAGAAGGCAACATAAGCCATGGTGCAAGCCATCTAGTTAGTTAGTTAGTTAGGCCTGAATATGAACAGGTGTAATTGGCTGTCGGTTTATTCATTATTTTACTATTGTATTTATGTATGTCCCGCAAGGATTCGTTCACTGAGCATGTATAAAACTGAATTATAATGCAGTATGTTACTTTGATATTTTGGGTACTTTATTTAATTTTGTGGCAATATTCTAAATATATCACCCAGTTTATTACGCAGTCCAAAAACCAGGTCACATTCCACCCCGAATCGAACACGAAATTTGATGATACCCTCACGTAGAACTTTATAAAAGGGGAGTACAAAAGTACTTGCCAAGAAACTTCTCGCTTTGATTCTGTGTGTGTTTAGTAGCCACGTGCGCCTCGCATGGAGATATTGTACCGACTCTAAGAGCCAGCCCATCCTAAAGTCTGCTAAATATAACCTGCAAAATCACGGATATACATCACAGAAGTTTCCTATGTGCCACGTTGTCCTTACAGCATGTTAGCCATGGGAGATACGGAGTGGGTAGATAATTAATTAGGTACGAAGTTACAAAGCTGGAAAACCCAGCTGCAGTACCATTACGAATTTTCGGATTTTTCTCAAAATAATCTACTTAAATAGTAGCATTACTTGTCGTAATGACAGTTTTGTGAATGTACCCGTTTGTACAAAGAAAAGGTACCTAAAATGTGAAAGACTTTGACATCACACACCTTTCCTTATTATTTACCGCCGCGAAGCCAAGTAATGATTGGTTCATTCATTAAACAATTACCAAACTAGGAAACGGCAGTGTGCATAGATCGCTTTATGCATTATAGAACTATGGTCGTCTATTAGAAATACCACTACAGATAAACAGAGAAAAATGAGAGACGACGGGACTTTGCATTGGAAGAAGATATCGGAGTCAATAAAATATGTAATTGAATGGTATGACGAACTAAACAGCAAGAACTTGACATTTTTGATGTGGTTTATGAAAGTTGTACGTATTTTAAGTGAACCGTCTTAATGAAAGCAATTTTTTTTACGGTTAGCCTGCGTGAAATTGACATTTAGTATTTTGAAATAACTTTTGAACTGTTATCACCTCAGCGAAGATTTGCGTAACTGGAAGGTAACGTAGACATTTATTACAGTCGTATGGTAGTCTGATATAACTTATATGTCTCTGAAATGCCCTTCAAATTTTCCTGTCTCTGTTAAGTGTTATAAGAATGGCATTGCCCTAACTGAGGTTGAAGTTTAAAATTGTGACGCACACTCACAAATCCTGTTTGATACGCATACATACAAACATACACACATATTGATATAAATGCCATTTTCACCAAGACGTTGGATTAATGATTTTATTATTACGATCAAAATATTTGCATAAAACAAAGATGTGAATTTGCAGTATTCATAAGAAACATAAACATGACTGTCACATGAAATATATATATTTGCTTTTCGATTGCTTGCCAATAATATGCTTGTTATTGGTATCAAAAGTATAAAGTATACCACATGAATACATTATTGTCGTTTCTGGATATATTTAAAATTGTCAACATGATGACTGCGCGACTTTGAAGCAGTAACAAAGTTGAACGAAAGGTATTATATGTTTAAGTAGTAGTGTAAAATGTACGACAGGGACCAGGAAAATGTATCTTCCCCTTTATACTCACGTACAGTTAATTTTACAATTTATTTTATATTTTTCTGACACGTCTGTTTTATCTATGTAGGATATTAATATTTTATCAACCGATTAAGTGTTACTTGCACTGATAAAACGTCAAATTTAGTATCATTCAAACATCCTGAATTAAATTATAGTGTCTGGAAATATCACTGATAGGTGAATGTTATCTTATGTTCATAAAAATTAATGACAGCTTTGTCTTGGAAACGTGTCGTCTCTTTCACAGAAAATACAATTGAACAATTCTTCCAAATGCATTGTCTTCATTACAACAATGCTCATACGGCCAATACGTACCGAAAGTGTTTCGTGTTACATATTATGAATTGTGACATAGAATGTCTATTGGAACTAGGCTGCGATTTCTCATTTCCTGATTCGGACAAATTAACGCAGTAACTCTCTAAATTTTATCAGCGTCGTCCGTAGAGTTCCCCACCAAATCATATGGCGCTTTAACAAGTGTGTTTATCGTAGGCTTGTGCAGGGTAAAGGAAAGTTCTCTGTGTCTTTACATTTACGATATGTTGCACATAGTGTCGAAAGAAAAGACGAAGAAAATTTATGCTTTTGTATTTTCATCTGTTCGGATTTGTTTTACATAACGTTCACAAATTGAAGCATGTTGTATAGGTGTGTTTAAGTGGTATGTTTTCAACTTATTTACCGTAATCAATTAAAATACAATTGTAGTACAGCTAATAAATTTTCCTAAGTACACCCCATATTTTTTTTATTTGGTATTAACGAAAACTCTTATTTTATAGATAAAAAAATTAACTTATACCACTTTAGCTCCGAGGGGTTTAGTTTTTAGAATGTAAATGATTAATTAGAAAATTTAACCGATTTAAAAATCGTGCGTTTGAGCAGCCTTTTGGTATCTTGTTTCCCCACCAAAATTCTGCATGCATTATTTGAATCTGCATGCTCAGCCCATCTTACTGTACTGGTTTCCACTTTCCTAACAGCACTACGTGGTCTGATAAATCACGAAGTTTTCTTTTTTGCGTGGCGTTGCGGAAGAATCCGCCCAATTCTGAAGTTTCTGTAAAGACAACATTTGCTGTGAAGTGTTGTAAACCCTACGCTCATCCGCCTGGCCGCGACTGCTAATAAATCTGGAGGCCCTCGTGCTAAGAAAGAAGAGAAATCATATTGTACGGAATATCTTTGTATTAG